CATTAGCACCTCTAGTAATATATTTACTGAGAAAAATGTTGACGTGTTCAATACTTATTTTACCCGCTGTATCTCAAATCAATAACAAACCCATATTTGGTCTTGACAAATTAAGATAAGATACTTTTACTTTCCAGGTTATTGCAAGCAGTTTTATGACTTGTGCTTAAGTATTTTTCTTTTCAGTGAATTATTTTTTTACCAAATTCATTTTCTGTTAAGGTATTTATTTTTATTTTACTTTACTTACACCTCTGTCAAGATGATCTCAGTGTGTTTGAAACTCAGCTGTCAGCTGTGTTCGATGTCAGAGAGTGTTCTGAAGCTCCTTATTAAATAGGAATGAGATGTTGTTGAACATCAGGCTCTGTTTGTGTGTGCGTGTGTGTGTGTGTGTGTGTGTGTCCGGGTAGAGAGAGGTGTTCATTTCAGGGACACACAGTGACCTAGAAACACAGAGCCACCCCCTCGCCCGCGGTAAGAGAGGGGGCTGTGTTCAGGCTCAAATGAAGGCCGGGCTTCTCTCTTCTTGCAGGTTTTTTTTACCTTTCAAGTGTGGCGAAACAGAACAACCTGTAACAAACAGTCAACAATGAGGTCTTTAATAAGAGCTGTTCTGGGGCCTGCACACAAGTGCTTTATCATTTCACTGTAGCTTCATGGAAGTGTTTTACTGCTGCCACTAAAATTACACTTTTTAAAATAAACAGCTGGTTTTAACCAAAAAACCTACAGTTGATGGGGCTTTGTGTAAATGTAAATAATAATTGAGTGCAATGATTTGCGAATCTCATAAACCCATATTTGATATTCACTGCAACATTGTGAACATTTAAACTACTGAAACTTAATAATTATACAATTTTCTTTTTTTTTCTTCTTTTTTTTGGGGGGGGGGGGTAGGCTAATTTTTTAAGATGCTGGCAACAACTCTTCTAAGGTACGTTGGCACAGGGGCAACAAAACGGTGCAGGAAAGTGGTACAAACATGTAATGCAGGGTTCAGCAGCTGCACCTGGTTACCTGCTGCATTATTTCTGCACTCCTGCAGGGTATATAAGAAGTGACAGGAAGTCATGTTACTTTCTGTTTTCCTCACTTCCTTTGGAAAACTTTTTGGACTTTCAGAAATCCATTCTACAGACAACCAGCACTGTAAAGCTAAATCTAATCCACACAACACCGTACTCATCATAAAACAACCTTTTTACACTAAATTTTTATTTATTTATAAAGTTTATTCATTTAAAACAAAACATAAATTTAATATACAATAAAAAATACAAAGCATAAATTAAATGAAAGGTAGCAGAAGACGAAAAATCTTGTGATTTCTGCCCCTTTTTCCTCAAATAAATAAATTCAATCAAAAATAATCTTCTAGTCTTCTAATTCTTCAGGTGTAAATTACATGTACACTTTGAAAACAAAGGTCAGATTTTTGTTGGTTGTTAGATGATTTCATATTCACAAGAACCTTTTTGTGAAGAATTACCCACTTTTCTGAGTCAGTAGGAACTGTGGACTCTGAATGAACTGTTATGGACTCTAACTTTTGGACATATTGGGTGTTTTTTATTTTTGAACTGGAAATGAAAGGCCTTATAACTAAAATTCTTTTGTTCTACAGATTTGTTGTTTTTTAATAACAAATTGCRTTTATCTTTTGCTTTTTGACTTCAATCCAATTCAACCCCCACCCCACCCCACAAACCATCTGTTTGTGGTCAGTGTAATCCAGTGTTGTGTTGGGCTCCTTCAGACTTTGAAATGAAATTATCCAATTTAAATCAGAAAACCAGTTCAGAGGTTACAAACAGCTAAGGAAGCATTTTGTAATTAATTAAAATAACTGACAACCAGTGGTGGGCAGCACTAATCTAAAAACTAGTTCCATTAGCCCTAAAACACTAGTTCAAATATTTACAGTGGTTTGCAAAAGTATTCATACCCCTTGAACTTTTCCATATTTTGTCACATTACAACCACAAACATAAATATATTTCACTGGA